TCAGCAAGTTCCTGGGATCCCCCTGTCTCCAAGTCCCAGAGCTGGGGTGACAGATACACCATCACTGCACCCAGCCCCCATTGCCAAGAGCTACAAAACCTTTTATGGCCCTGCTAAAAGAGCTCACCTACTAGGGGGCTCCTGTGGCCCACTCTGCCCACAGTTCTTGCTAGATTCTCACATATCTGCCTTTCTCCTTTGCATTGCTTCTGTCCTTAGTTTGATCATTCTCCTTAGGGAGGAAAACTCTTCCCTCAGTGTACTGCAACAACTTGAAAGACAACAGGTAGATCTGGTGTCAAATCCCAGTGCTGCCTATTCAGGGTGGAAGGCCTTGAGAAGTGACTTAATCTTTTAAACATAACTCCCACTTCCATAAAGTGAGCTAATAACTGAAGTTACCTTGTATGGCAAGAAGAGGATTCCTGTCTGGCATAGCTAAGTGCTAAATGGTATTAGCTAAGTGTGATAGTTAACACACATTGTTGGCTTAGAAGGATTTAGAATCCCCAGGAAACACATCTGGATGTTTCTACCAGGTTGTTTGCAGAAAGGTTTAGCTGGGCAGGGAAGACCCACTCTGAATGTGGGTGGTGTCATTCCATGGGCTGGAGTCTTGAACTGCATGAAAAGAGAAAGCAAGTTTAGCACCAGCATTCATCCCTTTCTGCTTCCGGACTACCATTGCTATGAGACCAGCAGGTTCTTGTTCCTACTACATGTCTCCTCACCATGATGGACCATGTCTTCTTGACTTAGAAATCAAAATAAACTTTTCCCTTTTAAAGAGGCTTTTGTCAGGTATTTTGTCATAGCAACTGGAAAACTAATGCATGGATATGGCTAAAAAAAAAAGAAGCAGGTACCCTTTCTGGGAGCTTTTGCTTTTGACTTTTGGTTTTTGAGATAAGGCCTCATATCTCAGGCTGCCCTTGAACTCAACAGGATGGCCTGGAACTCCTAATCCTCCTGCCATTTCCTCCTGAGTGCTGAGTCTACCTTTCCTATCAACAAACACTATTAAGTAGTTGCAAAGTGCAGGCACTTTGGTACTGGGACGATAGAATGAATCACATTTCTGGCCTTGTGAAATGTCTAGATGATCCGACAGGAGGAAGGATCATATGCATTCATTCAGGAGATCTTTATTAATAACTGCTTCCTGCTGGCCAC